TTCTTTCTCTTTAAAAGACACTCAATGATCTGTTGAATAAAGAATTAATATATATTAGTAACTCTTTCACTGCAGCTTCTATTCTCTTTGCAAAGAAATCAGACAGAAAACTTCAATTCTGTGTGAACTATTAAAAACTGAACAGATTAATAAAGAAAGACTGCTATTCTTTATCTTTTATCAATGAAATTCTAGTATGTATCAGACAGGCTCAATGATTTACAAAGCTAGATGTCATCATTACTTTTCATAAGATTCATATCATCAAAAAAGATAAGTGACTTACAGCATTTCAAACATAATATAATCTCTTTGAATGAGTAGTCACATCTTTTAAATTAGCTAATGCTCTCAGTATATTTCAGAAGTATATTAACTAAGCACTTCAAGATTTTCTTGATAAGTTTGTATCTGCTTATCTCAATGACATTCTCATCTTTACTGATAAGTTCACAAAGGAATATCAAGAACATGTGTGAAGAGTATTACAATAACTATAAGAAGCAGAACTCTCAATAGATATAGATAAGTATGATTTTAAAGTCAAGAGTACAAAATATCTAAGTTTTATCATAGAAGCTGATAAGAGAATCTGAATAGATTCTGAGAAGATCTCTGCTATTCTCAAATAAGAAACTTCATACACTGTGAAAGATGCACAAAGCTTCATTGAATTTATTAACTTCTATTAATAATTTATACAAAACTTCTCAGATATTGCTAAATCACTTACAGAACTTACTAAGAAGAACTCAGTATTTTAATAATCAGTAGATACTGAAGCTGCATTCACACAGATAAAGAAAATATTCATTAATACTTCTTCACTGATAATATTCAACTTTAATTATGAGATAGTTATTGAAGCTGACTTCTCTGACTATATTATAGAAGAAGCTATATTGTAATATAATGATAAAGATATCTTATAATCATATGTCTTCATATCTAAGAAATCAAGTCTCACTGAGTGCAATTATGAGATCTATGATAAGAAAATTCTGACAATAGTACACTGTCTGAAAGAATGAGACTCTGAACTCTGAAGTGTCTTCAAATTTGAGATAATCACAGATCATAAGAATATCAAGTATTTCATAATTATCTGTAAGCTTACTGAACAGCAGATATGATGATCTGAGCTATTAAGTTATTTTCATTTCATGATACATTACTGTCTCAGTAGTCAGAACTCAATGACAGATGCTTTCTTACAATGAGAGTAAGATATATCTTTCAATAAAACAGACACTTGCTGAATGAACTGTGAGCATCAGCTCTTGAATCTGAAAATACTAGTTAATCACAATGAAACAACTCATGATACTATACTCACTTCTTCAATTAGAACTGTTATCAATATCTTAACTTCTTTCAAATGTACACTAAATGAATTGTAGCATACAATAGCTCAGACTGATACACTTCTTCAAATACTCACTGAAGCAGTATGTCAAGAAGCATCTCAATTCTCTTCATAACTATATATAAGAATCAATATCTCAGAATGCTCAATTAATAATAATAACACTCTGCAATTCTGTTAATAACACTGAGTCTCTCAATCTGAACTCTTACATATCAGAATAATGCAAGAGATGCATGATTTATATATAACTGATTATCTGAATTGTGAGCAACTATATTAAATAATCTCTCAAGAGTGCTACTGATCTGAGATATCAAACAGCATCAGATGCTTTGTCTGAAACTGCAATTATTATTTCTTTATCATCTTATGAAAACATCATAGAAAAGATTTACTGAAACTGCTTAATGTCTCTGATAGAATCTAGTGAGATGTAGTAATTACCTTCACTGTTAATCTCTCTGAGAGTAAGAGTTATAGAAATATTCTGATTATTATTAACTGATTGAGCAAAGATGTAATATTGAAATCTTGTAACAAGATGAATACTGAACAGATTATCAAAGCTTTCTTACAAAGCTCATTCTATCAGATACATGACTTGTTAAGATGTATAGTATCTGATCATGACTGTTAATTTGTGAGTACTCTCTGAATAAGAATCTGTCAAGATCTCAAGATCACATGCCATTTGTTAACTACTTATTACATTAAAACTGATAATGCATCAGAATGAATAATTCAGACTGTAAAGAATTATCTTTATAAGTTATTACTTATAAGATGATTAACATGATCTTCTTCTACATGTAGAGATTACTATCAATGATTAAGATACTGTTTCAACAGATATAAGTCTGTTCTTTCTTACACACAGTTATTACATAAAGATGTTGAATCTTCTAGAGATTATACAGTGCACACTGAATCTCTGCAGTTTAATTCAGATTACTGATAATATAGTAATAAAGCTTCAAGATATCTATGACTGAGTAGAAGTATTTATAATGAGTGTTAAACAAGATTAAGAGAATTAAATCAATGTTCACTGAGATTCTGCTGAGCAATATAAGATAGAAGACCTGATATGATTGAATCTTAAAAATATACAGATCACACACTCATCTTGTACACTGAACTACTGTTATACTAAATACAAAGTGATAGAAGTTCTAGACAGTTATAACTACTGTCTTGACATCTCATCAGAAATTCATGATGTCTTTCATACAAGCTTGCTCTGCTGCACTGCTACTGACTCATTTTCTTCTCAACTGACTTTTAACTGACAACTGCCAGAGATCATAGAAGAAGATAATGAACTTGAATAAGAAATTAAAAAGATTCTCAATAAAAGAGCCCGCGGCTGTGACTGATAATATCTTGTAAAATAAGTTGACTATAATCACTCAATCTGAACTTTGAGATCTGTATTATCTGAAACACCAGCTCTTAACCGATGAGAACTACACACTCACAACTCTATCACTCAAACCTCACTTCTGAAAAAGAGAGACTAATGTGACAGGCTGGGTCTGATCATATAAGACTATTTCACTATACTTCATAGATTTCTGCTGAAAGCTCTGATTCTTCTGTTAAAAGCTCTGATTCTCAGTTACTGATTCTCAGCTGAAGAACTCATGAAGTTGTTATTCTCTTGCTCTGAAGTTTCATCTCACACATATATAAATATTCACTTCAATCATCAATTCTCACACTTTCTCTTTTGTTTTTCTTCTCTAACATTTTTCATTTTTGTTACATAAGAGCTATATCTTAATGGCGATCTATTCGGCGTAGGCCCCTTACAAGTATATTCAGACACTGCTTATAATAGAGACTAATTCTGCAGAAATAAAGAATTGAAGAGACTTAAATAGTCTCTTATAAAGAGAGAGCTGAATTTATATATCTGTAAATGAGTTTCTATGTATAGAGCTTATTAAAAGATATCATGACTCTTCTTTAATAAGTTATTTTACAGATACTAGAACTTATGAGTTACTTATAAGAAAATACTTCTGACTGAAAATATAAGAACTTGTGAAGAAGTTAGTGAATTCTTATACTATTTATCAGAATTTACAGATAGTGAGATTCAGATTATATGAAGAACTTACTTCTCTATTCATCTCATGAGAATCTTGATAACAGCTAGAAATAAACACTCTTATAAGCCTCTCTGAAAGCAAGAACATATATAATACCTGCTTTGACAGTGTGCTAGTAATGATAGATTGCTTTATCAAGATAACACACTTTATACTCACTTATAAGAACTTAAGGTCAAAGAATTTGACTTATATCTTCATTTATAATATGATTCAGTTGCATGAGTATTTCATGAATATTATTTCAGACAGAGAATTAACCTTTATAGAGAAGTACTGATCTGATCTGATAACTATACTGAAGATCTTATAAGATCTAAGTATAGCTTTTTATCAATAGACAAATGATCAGATAGAATATCTGATAAGTATATTAAAACAATATCTGTGATACTTTATTAATTACAATCAGAATAACTGAGTGCATTATTATTATTATTATTCTTCAATTATAGATGTATGCAGTCAGAGACTATGACATCTACCTGAGAACTTTTAGTTCCCAGGATTTTTCCTATATCTATAAAGTCAACTATTATACATTTATCAATTTCAGATATACAAAATCAGAAAATTCCAGCTCAGAGTACAAAAACTGTTTACAAATTGCAGTAATTTAATACCTTCTAATACTTTGAACTCATTTGACAATATCCTGACAAAAGAAAAGAGAACACAGTCTTCAAGATAGACACATGAAGTAGATAGATAGAAAAGAATAGAAAGGAAAAAGTAAAGTAAAGAGAGACTGTAATAAAATAAATTATTACAAGATAGTGTATAGCTGTTTTAACAGACTATATCTGATCAATTTCCTCCTCTTCATATTTAGATATTTCTGAATTTAGCCATTATCTTGTAGCTGCTTGAGTTTCTGATAGAAAGTCTATTAAGTATTTAATTCCTGTCTCAGTTGAGAATAAGAATCTTATATTTAATTAATTTAAATCATACTTCTCTTTCAATCTGACTCTGAGACTATTGTATAATACACAGTGCATTACAATATACTCAGAATTCTCACTTGCATTGCAGAATGAGCATTCTATTGAATCAAATCTATCATCAAATCTTTGTATATAAGATTTGAAATAGCCATGTTCTAGTTTCACCTGTATTATAAATGAGAATATTTTCTTTTTACATTTAATTGAACAAGATTTCCACTTGAGTTTTATTTCATATCTAGAATAATGTATACTCTTCTTTTATTTCTGTCAGCTTTCATTTCACTTGTCTAAACAAGATTCTTTTATCTTTCTCTTTATAAAAGATCAGAACATAATTTTTTGAATAGATCTGCTTAATTCTGAACTCTTTTTTGCAGCTGAATCAGTCAATTTATTGCCATGAATATTCATATAAGCAGGAACTCAGTGCAGATAAATTATCAGTTTTGATATTCTTCTCTTTTGAATTTTTAAAACAGAGTTTAAAATCAGTTCAAGATTCATTTGATTATTATGAATCTGACTATTTCTAAGTCTTTTTAGAGCAGCTTGACTATCAGATAATATTCATATCTCTTTCAAACTATTTTCTCTTTTATGAGACTTTATCTCAATGAGTTTGAAAGCTTTCACTATTGTAAATAGTTCAGCATCAAAGACTTTAGATTCACAGCCTAAATTCCAGAAATCTGAAATAAAATTGATATTATCTTCAGTATAAGCAATGCCTGCGCCTAATCTATTCAAATTCTCATTTTTTGAAACTGAGTGCATTGATTATTACTCACAGAGTTCATATATAACAACTTAAATTATATTAGTATAAGTAAAACTCTCTGTGAGATGCTTACTGAGACTTACTCATGAATAATCTTGATAAACCTGTGAGAGTATACTATAGAGTGTAGTGATATCTGTGAACAGGCTGAGAGAATTCAGAATATCTGAGAGAAAGTCTATGAATTCTTGAGAAGAACTTAAGAGTTTTAAAAGAGATACTATAACTCTAAGTATATTATAAAAAGTTTTAAGAAAGATGATAGAGTCTGACTGAGTCTGAAAAATATTATTATATGAAGATCTAGTAAGAAGCTAAATCTCTTACAGATGAAGTCTTATAAGATTATGAAGAAAGTTAGCTCATAGTTCTATAAATTGAAGCTGTCACCTGAGTTCTAGATATATAATATTTTTCATATGCCTTTACTTTGTGAATATAAGAAATTCTTCGAAGCCATTTTTCTCACAATCGCTCCACTACGAACTCGCTCGATTTTTCGAATAAGAACCCGCCGATAGATCCATCGAAGAGCCCTCGATCATACGAGCATTCTGACCCCATCGCCAACCGCATACCCCGTGTGGTGGTGGAGTTATCCAGCCAAATGTGAACCAGACATTGTTCAAAACTCCTGTGTGAGATTATCTCTCATTCACCCCTATCACATCAAAACCCCGGGCCAAGTGGCTATACAAATTGTAAGATGAAGAGACCTAGTCATATGCATCAATCTTCTCAATTTTGAAAGATCTCTGATCTGTAATTGTGAAGATATCTAAGAAGCAACTTCTGTGAAAACCCTGTCTATCTTTGATGTTTCAAAACATCATCACCAAGTCTCACCCATGTACTGTTCTTCTCAATCTGGCCTACCTTCAGCAGAAAAATACAAAAAGATACCTCAGCAATAATATCAAGCACATAATTAATGAACACATCTGAAGTGCATTCTCTGTGAAAACCCTGTCTGTCTTTGATGTATTAAGACATTAATGCCAAGTCTCATTCTCATACCACCTCTTTCAATCTGGCCCATCCTCAGCAGAAAAATACAAAACGATACCTTGACAACTGTATTTAATACATAATCAGCAGACATGACAAGAATAAAATCAGTATATCTCAAGGTCTGACTGAGCCTTGAATCCCTGCACAGTGAGATATATTAAATCTAGTTTTAATATCTTAATATTTAATAGATTCTGTAAGAAATTGAGAATAGCAATACTAGATTTCTATTGAATTTGAGAATTAACTCTATATTAATATAATCATTGACAAAGTCTTCTATTTTAAGATATAAATAATCAGTTTCTCTATATCTCACTGACAATATTTATATTATTATATAGAAACAGAGTTATATTCTCTATAATATCAAAACTCTGAAGAGGAGAAGTCTTGATAGAGAATATACAGTAGTGTATATCTTAGCAGTTTTTATCTTATTCTTCTGCTGCAGTTAATACAAAAAAAAAAAGATCTTAAAATTAGTTTTTCACTTCTCTTGAAAAAGTAAGATATTTTTCCCTGCATTTTACACAATATTCTTACAAATAATTAAAAACAGAGTTATTTTCTGTTATAATTTTGTATTCTTTTAAGTAAGAATTACTTTTTCAGTAACTGAAGAGCTTTTATTAATACTTAATTCTCTTTTACACTCTTTATTAACTGATTTGAGTTTCATACTTGTTGTGTGAGAAGAATTGAATAATTTAGAATAAAATTGAATAATTTTAATCAATTTCTCTGCAAAAAATTGACTTATTTTTTATCAGTTTTTCTCTCAAAAACTGTCATATCATCTAATTTATTATCAATTGATATCATACTTTTTCTCACTGTATCTCAAGAAAGAGTTTCTAAAGATTTTATTAATATCTCTTAAAAATCAATTTTAAATTATTAGATTTTCTTTAAAAATCTAATCTAGTTACTGAAGTAGTGTGAAAAAAATCAGATATTTTATATATAAAAGTCTTTCATTCTTCTTTTGAAACAGTCTGACTCACTTTTCATTTGAAAATAGATTAATAAATCTATCAATTGAAATAGTTCAATCAACTTTTCATTTGAAAATAGACTGATAAATCTCTCAATTAAAACAGTCTAATCAACTTTTCATTCAGTGAGTAAAATGAGTTCAAGAGTATACTCACTTAATGGAAAAAAAGATGTTTTCTCAGATGCTGTTTCTAAGATTGAAATTCTAAAGAGAAGAAAGAAGAAAGAAATAAACAAATAACAAGTTCTTGAAATACAGAAACTTGAAAAAGTAAGTAAAATTCTTGAAAAACAGTGTCTGAGTGAGAAGAATGAAGAAGTTCTGTTAATTCTTCATACTCAGACTAGACAACTATAAGAGATGATCAAGTTCAAACTTGAAATTTCCAACACAATTCAAAAAACATTGAAATCTTCTAGTACAGTCACTGACTCTTTCTCATATTCTACTTGTTCATCTTCTTCTTCAAAGTAGAACAAAATATATGCTTAAGTAGCAGAATCTGCTATCTCTAAACCTGCTATCTCAAAACTCACTCAAAATTCTGAGAAAACTGAGAAGAACATTACTCAGATCTCTGTTCATAGAAAAGAAGAGAAAAAAATATAAAAAGAGAAAAACTTTCAAATCTTCAGAAATAGAAGACTTATTCTCAAAGTCTTAAATCAGGAGATCTTGCAAAGAAACAAGCTAAACTCAAATCTTATTTTCAGAATTAGAAATGAAATCAATCAGCAGTTCTTTTCTCAGTTAATGACTGATATTGAAGTTTAAAAATCAGTTATAGCTTCAATTGAGTCATCTTTATTTGAAAATTTCATTATTTTAACTACAATGTCTGAATTTAATGCAGACTTTCTCATTCAGAATGAGAATCTCTGAAAATTAATAATAGAATCTCTATTGAATACAATAATTCTATCTGAGAGAGATGAAAAATGAGACAAATTCATTCTTTATAATATTTCAGTTGAAATTTTTGACTGTGAGAAAGAAATACTACTTCTCAAAAATGAATTAGAAGAATACAATTCTATTCAACTGAGAAAAAAGTCTGTATAACTTAATTCAATTGAGTTTAGATAAAGCAGAAGAAATATCTCTGTTCTAGTATATATAAAGATACTTGAATAATCAAGAATCTCTGAAGCAAGAGTAGCAGGTTTGAAAATGAGAGTTCATGAATATAAAGACTCAAGAATGAATCTCAAAGCTCAAACACAGTGTTCAAACTGTCAAAGACATAAATACTTTGCAATCTCTTATTTCAGAGACTCAAAATGCACATTCTATACTAGAGATTATAAAACTGCTGAGTATAAATATGAAATATACATAAAAAGAGATGAAATATATTAATATACTCTGCTTAAATGCTTCAATTGTAAAGAAAAATATGCATCTAGCTCAAAAGAATGTGTATTTGATTGAAGAACTCAGAAGAACTGAAGAAAAGATAAAGTGAAAAGTAAACTTACAATTGAAGAGAAAAGTCAAGTCAGTAAATTTATAACTGCAAACTTAAAAAGAAGAAACTCTCAACTATTTAAATCTTCAAACTTCAATTCTTCAGTTAAATATGAACAGAATTTGAATTCTTAAATATCTGTTAAGATTAGAGAATTGAGAAATGACTCTGATAATAAACTAGATAGAATGTAAGTAGTTGAGATTTCTGCTTTTCAAAATAGTTATAATCTACTATCTGATGATAGTGATTAGATTCTACTCTATCTTCACTCTCTTTTAGTATGAATGTATAATAAAAATAACAAAAAAAGTTTAATAACTCTTTAAAAATTTCATTTATTTAAAACAATATGAATAGAAACTCAAATTACATTTATTCTTGTCTTCAGATTGTATTTGAATAGAAAGTTGACTCTGTACTTCTTCAAGAATCAAACTTTCATACTGAGTAAAAGTGCATCATTTCTCATTCAAGCTATAACTACTTTCTTTCTGAAAAATCTGAGACAAAATCAAGAGTAGTGATCTATGAGAGAAAAAGATCAAGATATTAATTTAATCTGAGATTTAATATCATATCTGACTCTGATATTCGAGTGAGTGATATTATAGATACAGAGAATAAGTTTGATACTATTCAACTTATAAATATCTATAATGAAAAGTCATTGAAAGAAAACAACAATATCTGAATAATTAATAGAGAATTTTTGAATATAACTCTCTTAAAAAACTTTATAATTATAGAAGACTTCAATGCATATTATTTCTGATGAAACTCAGAATACACAAGAGTAGTAAGAGCAGATAAACTGGTTGAATAAACTTTTAAGTATTTAATAGATTTAGTTAATAAGTCTGATTAATAAATATTCTTTATAAAAGATATGAAAAAGAAATCTATTATAGATCTAACTTTCATGTTATAAAATCTAATTAAAAAAAGACTTATAAACTGATTTATTAATTCAAATGAAACCTCAGAATCAGGTCATGAGATCATTCAATTTGATATTAAACTGAGTGAAACATAAAGAAGTGAAAATTCTCTTCTCTCTAATCAGTATAACTTTGAAAAAGCTGATTGAAAAGCAGTGGAAGAAAGAGTAAAACAGCTGAAATCTGAAAAGCAGAGTGAGCTCTATTGAAATCAATGTCAAGATAGCTAGCGTGACTCAGTTGATAAGACTGATAATCAAGACTGCACACATTAGAGGTGCGTGAGTTTGAATCTCATCACTGGCACCTGCTACTTCTTATTCATGAAAGCTCTCATATAATAGAAGCTGAGTCTAATTAGTAAGACTTGATACAGTGTAGAACTCTCTACTACAAGCTAAGTCACTAGTTAAGTGAGATTCTGTGAACACTTATCAGAACTGATATAAAATGTCAATGTCTTACTATTCTACTATACACCTGTCAAGGTTCTAATAATATAGAGCTAAGTCTAATATAGTGATTATATACTACTTAAGCAAGTCTCTAACTAGACCTGTCATTGAAGCCTAGCTTCTTCTCAAATACAGAGAATGATTTTAAAAATTATCTGACTAGCAGATCTAGATACATATTTAGACTCTGGACAGAGCACTCTGATAGACTAGAGTCTGCAAGCTCACTGTCAAGCTCTAATACTTACAGAGAGAACTGCAGTCATTAAGTCTATAATTAGTTTCTAACACAGAGCAAGGTCATGACAGCTGATTAATAGGCCTATGAGCATCTAATGAGGCTGAGATCAGCAATCGGAAGCTTGGTGTGTATGCTACCATGTGAGCGGTAACAGTCACTAACTAATGACTCTGGAAATTAGTGACTGGTCTGAGAGAATGAACACAGTGATCAGTTAATTATAGAGTATTAAATGTAATTAGCTTAAGATGCATCCTGCAGGTGACTAGCCTCTGTAGTTCAAAAGAGAACAACATTAAAACTGATAATTCATCTGCAATGAGTTCCTGCTCATATAAATATTCATGGAAATGAATTGGCTGATTCAGCTGCAAAAAAGAGTTCAGAATTAAGCAGATCTATTCAAAAAACAGTGTTCTAATCTTTCATAAAAGAAAGATAGAAGAAT